ATATTTGATTATTGGATGGTTTACACCCATGGCGTCACTATTGCTATTAAAGGCAAAAAGTGCAAAACAAACAAATGAAACAAATTAATCAGAAATATCCAAAAAAAAAAAATCTCAAACAGAAAAAGCCAAACAAAAACACCAAAAAAAATCCCCAGAACCAACCAAAACCCAAAACTGAATGTATTCCTAGGCTTGAGTGGAGTACCATTTATTACAGGTGTTTTGAACAATCTTACCTGAATGGAAGTGATAAGCAAATAGCAATAAAATTTACCTTTCTGTTCAGTAGCTTTCTAGTGACTCAGCACAGTTTTGAACAAGTCTTGCAAAGATCCACTAGTATTTAGTCTTAAAAAGTAAGGCATTTTGTTTTTCTTGGGCTGAAAGAATGGCACTGTTATAGCTTTTTAATTTAGATAAATTCTCAAAAAAGAGGCTACTGTTAGATAATTTTTAATACTAAACTACTTCATAATTGAGAAAAAAATCATGACACTTTTCCTTTTGTGTCAAAATGCTTAGAAAAGAAAGTATTGGTTGCTGTCCCTGTCTTTCAGATGGAGAAACTGAGGCATTGGGTTGTTTGTGTGTTTGTCACACAACATAGCAGGGATTAAAATCTGGCAATTAGATGTGTACCTGTGTTATGATTCCCTAATGCCACAGAAAAGCTTGGCGTAGCCGACAGACTCTAGAAGTTCCAAATGTGACTGAGGATGATGAAGACCCTGTTGTAGGGACATTCAAGAGATGGCACTTAGGACAGAAGCAGCCTGTCAGAGGCAAGCTGAGGGAATAGAGTGGCTAAAGGAACTGAAATAAATACTAAATCACCCTTCAGATATATTAGTAATAGCCTGTTAGAGAGTCTAGTGCCAAATGATGATCAGGGTACAAAGGCAACACCTGGAGAGCTGAGACACTGAAGAAACAGAGGTCATTCCCCAGCCAGAACCCTCTTCAGGATGGGGCAAGGGGAAGTAAACCAGCAAAGGATCTGTCTGAAACTGAAGTGACTATGAGTGAGAGTTTCAGAGAAGTATCAGCACTAACCAGTTGAGTTTTCACCAAGAACCTCAAAGAAAATGGAAAGAGAAAAATGCTGAAATATTAAAAATAATGCATAGCTCTCCCACTGTCACTCTGATTTATTCTTCTGTGGTATCTGAGTACTGGAGTGTGGCAAATGTGTCACCAACATTTACAGAAGGGTCCAGGAGAATCTAAGGATCTATAGGCCTATAATCTGATGGGCAAGATAATGGGAATTAAGATAAAGGAACTATGAATCAGGAAGTACCTAGATAAATACAGTTTACTTGAAGAGAGTCAGCATGGCTTTTGTAAAAGGAAATTCAGGCTTACAGACACATCTGTCTGAGTTGACAGATGTGTGGATCAGGGAGATTCAGTAGATGTAGTTTATGGAGACTTCTAAACAGATTTTGGTAAATTTCCTCACCAAAGATTTTTTAGAAGAAATAGAATAGCTATGAATAGAGAAAATGCATATGCATGCATAAAGACTTGATTAAAAGGTAGAAAAGAGAACAGGAGCAAATAATGAACTCTCTTAGTGGGGGCAGGTCATCCAGTGGAGTTCCGCAGGAACCTGTACTGGGACATGCACAGCTCAACATTTTCATAAATGATCTGGTAAAAGGGCAAGTAGTGTAGTGACAAAGTTGATGGTACAAAGTTACTCAGGATAGGAAGGAGAAGGACAGTTTAAAGTCTTCCTGCAAATCTTCTTATTTACAGTTTGGAAATTAAAATGGCAGATAAAATTCAATGCAAGTAAGCACAAGGTAATGCATATAGGGAAAATCGATCCTGGCATCATATATGAAATATTTGGCTTGAATTTGCCATCACTACTCAGGAGGGAGATTTTGGAGTTATGATAGATAGTTGCATTGCATGAGACTTAATGCTTGGCAGTCATCAAAAATGTAAACCTAATTTATGGAATTATTATGAAAGGGATAGTGAACATCAAGATCCCACTGTATTAATCCATGGCTTGACCACACCTTGAATACTGTGTGCAGTCATGGTCCCTTTATCTTAAACTACTGGAAAAGCCACAGTTTTCTGAGAAAAGCTGGGTAACAGGAGTGATCAAGGATGTAAAACGGCTACCAAAAAAAAAAAAAAAAAGGGTCCAGATAGGCTGGGACTCTTTATCCTGAAAAAGAAACAACACAGTAAAGTATAAAATCATGTAAAATCATGTGGCATGGAGAGGATATATGGGTGTTCACCATTCTAATTTAAGAATGAGGGGCTGTCAAGTAGAGTTACAGAGAACAGGGTCAAAAGAAAAGCAGCTGTTCTTTTCTACTGAGTGGCGATAGCCCTATGGAACTTGTGACCAAAAGTTACTGAAGATGCTGGTACTGTGGATGAGAAACTGGTCAAATACTTGAGAGAAAGATCTATGGAAGGCTACTACCTAAAGGAATCATGTCAAGCTTGTGTGACTCATGAACTGCAAATAGTCAGTGTGGGAAAGCACCCAGAGGAAGCATACGTGCCCTGTTCTTATTCTCCCTTGGACAGCTGCTTTTGATCACTGATGTAGAAAGAAAACTGGGCTGTGTGGACCTTTGGTCTGAACTAGTGGAGCCATTTAGTTGGGAATGCGGACAGCTACTCAACAGGCAGCTACATGACACATGCTAACCTGAGGAGCTGCACGATACCCGAGCCGGCTTTAAATGAGCTACCTCAGATGCCAGTAGCAGCCTGTCCTCTGGCTGAACGGAGAGCTCATCCTCTCAGTGGCACCAATTAGCCTGTGCTGAGTTTCTTGCTGTCATCACTGGGATGTTCGCAGTACTAAGCTAGTTTATATAAAAATATTGCTATGCTACACTATTTGCTGCGTGGGCATACCCACTGTCTAAGTGGACATGCTGGAACATCAGTTCTTTTGGTTAAGCCTGCAGATATGAAGTTGCTAAATTCTCAAAAGCAGAAAAAAAGGATTCCAGCTTCAACTCCCAGTTTGTTTCCATTTCCTATTTATTCATTTCACAGGTCTAATAATTTTTCTGAGTGTCAGCTCTTGTATACTTAGCTTGGGGTCTGAAAATTGTTAGTTTGTGTTTTTTTGGTTCATGCGTCACTGTCAACAGCTGTAAAGATATGCAGCCAGAACTGACGCTGTAGCAAGAATAAACTCTAGTGTATTCTCTTAACTGTGATGACTTTGAAGATCTAATAGCACTGAAAATTAGTAAATAACTATTTTTATCACTAAAGTCAGCAGTTCTGACTCAGAGTGTCCACTAAGGAAATGAACTTTAATCATGTGATTCTCAGGGCCTCCAGTTGGGGGCACTGGGCAAACATAGAAACATTGCAATGGCCAGCGTGAATGAAACTTGTACATAGGCCAGTGATATGCTGAAGGGGAGGGGGGGGAAGCCCAAGAAAAATGGATGTGAAATATGATTGTCATTCTGGATTTAGGAATTTTTAAGATAAATTAGATTTCGTTTTCAAAACTCCTTTGCTACTAACAAAAAATTGTACTGTTTTATTTTCGTTACCCATAAATCATCCTGTTTCTTCTGCAAAACCAGGAATCAGTGATTTTAAAACCATCCTCTTAATCAATAATTTCAAATTCTGATGGGCCCAGATAGAAAAGTTATTGTAAATTTAAATATTCTACCATTCAGTTTCATTAAATGTTTCCAGCCTAGCATAAATCATTTGCTCTACCTACCTTTGGTATTGCTATTTATTCTTTTACATCAAGGGAAGAGCTAGAAAAAAGTAGTAGAAGATGCTCATTATTAATGAACAGTGTAAAGCCCAGCATGATTTAAGGTCTGCGTGGGCCTGTACACACACAGATATAGCGTCTAAGACAAGACCTAAGAGAAGATAGGATGTATTGTTTTGTTCTAGGAATATCAGTTATGCTATTAGGAATATGTCATAGAGACCAATTGTGGTTTCATGGTTTTAACTCATACCATTTAAAGAAAATCATATAAAATATCAGTTCAGGAATTCCTATCCCTAATTTTGTTGATAAGGCTTTCTAAAACAGGCCAGGCAGATTTTTTATAATTTGCCAAATTAGAAGTGAATTAGATATTCAAAAGTAAAATTTGGTAACAGCTATAGAGGAACACATGAAAGGGTGAATATATATATTGGGACTGCACATCTGTGAATGGATGTACCGATAAGGAAAGTAAGCATTCAACATTGCCAAGCTCATAGTAGCCTAGATCTTCCAGCTGATATTTTTAACTAGATTTTGCAATAGTGCAATGGATTTTCTGGTCCCTGGAGCTCCTAGCCTTCTATGTGACCTCTGTAGTACAAGTTATGACTGCTTGCAAAGGATTGAAGCCAAAAGTTTTTGTCCACATTGCCGGCTGTCAAAACACAGGGACTTCTGTCTGGGTGTAGATACTTAGTTTTGGAAAGGCAGGGCAGAACATTTTGTTCATCTTTCCTCATGCTGCTCCACACACGCACCCAGACACACACATGCACACACACTGACACAGAGTAAAAAACCAAAGCCCTAATCATGCTATACTACTTTCCATGTAACCATAGAAAGCAATCTATAAATATTAAAGCTTCACAGCAGCAAAAGCATTAAACCCATTAGGTAATCAGAAAGCTGAAATAACTATCAGCTGGTCGGTTGCAAGGTTAGGAAAGGTTCAGGAGTTCTAATTTCCAGTCCTTTAATCTAAGCCCTATGCCACAAATAAGAAGTTAGCCTGGAATTCATGATCAACCTTGTAATAACAAAACTTTGTTTATACCTTGACAAGCAGTGAACAGTTACAATTTCACTTTATAAGACACTTATTGTTGCAAAGCTATAAAACGTGTTTGTTTTTTAAAGTCTCAGTATTGTTTTAAGAAAATGAAGTTGCTCCTGGACCTTGAAGCTTAGAATGAATTAAATGACACATGAATAAATATATATTAATTCTTTTTTATTAAAGTATCAAAACAAACTCAAGAATATAAAACAAACTGCTTTTAATGCATTTTGAGGGTTCTCCTGAATAAAGTATACTTTTAGAAAACTCATGCAACATACCGTTCCTGTCTAGCTGTTTAAACACTCTTTTCCTGGGCACAGTCAAATGAACTTGAGGACCATAATTTCTAGAGTAGCGTGCAGGAGCACGCATGCACACACACATACAAAAGCAGTAGAAAGCAGCTATGACTGCACATATAAAGAAATAAAAATAGATTATCTTCTGACAATAGTAGTGGTACCATATTAACATTTGGCATGCTAAGTAAATAACATCAAGCAACAAAAGCATGACGCCTGCGTCACTAGTGATATGGTTAAAAGCAACCATACAAATTCCCTAAGGGAGACACATGAATTCTATCATTATATTCTAGTCTCTGTGGTAACACTTTATAACAGTATAGGAGGCAAACAGCTTTGTCTGCTGGTATTCGATGCGCAAAAGGCAAAGCCAAGGTGTACGGTACTGGGATGATGCCTTGGTTTTGTATTTCCACTTTACAGAAGTCAAATACCAATGAACATTGTTTGACAAGTTTATTGTAATACACTTCATGTATATCTGTTGTCTGATAAATAGCTGGCCCAATGCCCCGTGGAACTTGCCCTTTAAGCCAGAGAAGTTGCAGCAGAGGCTCCAAATTCTGCCTACAGGACATGAATAATACTCTCACTGAAGTCAATGGAAGCTTCTTCCAACACACAGAAAGATAATGGATTCTCAGGACAGAATTGGACCTAGTATGTCATCTTTGTAATACATTCACTTTTCAGATACATGAAGTACATATCTTTAGAACATGATATAGGACATTACAATATATCCAGATCTTAGGAAAATGTACTAAGAAGTTCTGTTGCAGAATATAATGATCGTATAAGGATCAGGTACAATATCTGATAGACTCATCCAGGACTTGCAGGGTAAGCTGAGGATTATGGCTGAGGTATCTTTAAGTTTAGCCTTTAGAACAAAAACACAATTTCAACACTCTGTAACTGGTGTAAAATATTATGTACTGTAAGCTCCATTCTTACAGTCTGCTTCGTTTAAATTGTGACACTGAACAGAGACACCACTGATGGAGGTACAGAATTCTGGAAGGTACATCTGCACCCAATTGTTCAAGATACTCAATGCCTCATTTGTGGAAGAGAAAGATAAGTGTTATCAATAGTGGTGTCTCAAATACAACTGGTGAAGTTTAAGAATATGTAATATTAAACACCAAGAGATAAAAGCAAAAAGACAGCACAACACTTGTGTTTTCAGTTTTGTCTTGCTCACAGTATTTATTAACTCTACTCATTATGATATTAGTGATAAATAAGGATAATATTTTCTTTTACAAAAAATTGTAAGGATATATTTTATAGGATTAAACAATCTGAGAATTTCACAGAAACATCAGAATTTAAACACTTGTAGCTTCAACTGTTTTGTCCAGCAGCTCTTCAACCAGTTCAAAAACATCTAAGGTTAGTATTTAATAAAAAAATAAAAACACTTATCCACTACATCAAAACCCTTGCCTCCTTTAGCTTCTAAGTAACACTTTTGATTGACTGTAGTTGCCACTCAAATGTAAAATAAAAGTAGCTGCAGTCATAATTTTTCCCTCTTAATCACCTGGAAAAAGGAAGTAATCCTGACCAGGATGGAAAAAACTGTCAAGAGCTATCTGCTTAAGCAGACCCACTGAAGCCTGTGGAACCTCTTCTGTGAATGAGGGTTAATAGCATGAATTAAGGCCTGTAGGATTAGATCCCAGATTTTTTTTTTTTTTTAACTTTTCATGATTCATGAGCCCGGGATTCAGTCCTGCAGTACTTTACTTGGCCAAAACCTGTATCTATGTCCCTCCACAGTTAGTTTCCTTCTTTCCAGTGGGTCCATTTCACCAAGTCATCAAGAGGTGGTACAAGCTGCTCTTCAGCAATTCAAGGAGAAATTGTAGTCCCCAAAGGATAGTAGTGGGGTTCCAGCTCATAAAATACAATCTTAGCTATATGGACATTTTGCAAGAAACATTTATTTGTCACACTTACTAGGCTCTTCAAATTCAGTCTGAGATGAGTCATAGAAAAAACCCACACAAGTGTTGTGAAAAAAATGACAAAGCTTAGTTGGAACTAAAGGCTTTTTGTCTGTTTTTGTGTATGTGTTACGTGAGAATGCAACATTACATATCAGTACATTCTGCCAGAAACCATCCTCCTGGAAACTTTGAAACCTTAAAAATACTCTCAGTTTGCTTTCCCTACCAGCAACAAGGAGAAGTAGTGTCCATCCCGCACAGCTGTCTGTACCATGTGCATCATCGGAAGTCATAGTGTTCTAGCACAAACGTCGTGAGTGCAGATACTGTATACTAGCAGAGAGCTAAAACTTCTGAAGCTGTTGTCTGTAGCTCCTAGGAACAGCAAGTATGACAGGTGCAAAACCTATATTTGAGGCAGAAGACTCTTCAATTTGATTGAGACCAGATCTTCCAAGAGGAAGAATCACTGTCAAGCCAAAATGATTCTTGCTGCTTAAGAAAGCAATCTGCCCTTCCTAAAGGCTCTTGACTAATAGAATCCTACACATTATGTCACATCCTCCATGGATTCTGGTAGTTGTTAAAAACACTGTAAATATTTCCGTGTTTGCCATATCACTTAACCTTGTAATGTGCCTTCTTTGATCTGTTGAATAAAAAGATTCCTTTCATCTTCAGGTGTCCTTCCGTTTTGTGCCCGAACTATACAAGTGGGCCTGTGAAGATTTAGCATGTATATCAAATGCTGCTTCTCATTCTTTAGCTCTTCAATCTGGGCTTTTAATTCTGCATTGATAGTTTCCAGCTTTTCTGATTCCTAGTCACAAAGGACAGACACAACTATTAGACCGAGTAGTTAAAATAGTTAATTGCCATGTTTGTCTAATTGTTGCAGTCTTCTGTTGGTGGGAAAGCATAGGGCTAGCAGAGAAAGAAATTGCATGTTCTTAGAATTCTGTAATGATGAAACTATACATCCTCCAGTCGAGAATAGTCTAAAAACCAGATTGATGGTAACCTTCTTTGGCCTTTAGAGAAGTGTAACGGAAGTTGAAAAGCCAAATTCAGGCTTGTATTCACTTACAATGACAGGTATCCAAAGCATTATTGTTATCTTCTGCAAAACTACTCTGAACTCTTTGGGTCAAAAATTGACCCAAATTTATCTACGCTTCTTAACTCCCTGGAACATCATGTCACACATCTGTAAACCCACATTAAGATAACAAAGTAAGGATGTAGCTTTTTTCCCCTACTGCTGGATATAGTAATAAAGAGAGGCCTGATGCTGCTGTAATATAGTTGTGTATCATGGCAGAGCAGGTGAAGACACAACTGGGGTCTTAGGACAGAGAATTTAGGGGTAAATTACTATGTTACTCACTTTATAAAGATGTCAGAAATTACTTGTAGGTCTTTGCAGGCTCTTGGTCTCCACAATGAATATTATATGAAATGAGATTTTACTTCTTTATGTGTTCAGTGTACACATTCAAATTAATATTATTAAGATTGGCCACTGAAACAGTAATCTCTTTTTACTCATACTATACTTTCAATTTATTCCAGTTATAACCAGGTTTGCTTTTAATATATAACGTTCAATTTTTTTTATAACTCATGGTTTGCGGGGCTTACAGAGTTTTGGGTGACATCTTTCTATATTTCTTACTATGACAGTACCCTATGCTATCTGTTTGGATCCTGGCAGGATGACAGATTAATTCAAGCTAGTCACTTACTTTCTGCAAGCATTCTGTTTTTTCCTTCTTTTTGTTTCGGCACTTTGCAGCAGCAATTTTGTTCCTTTCCCTTCTTCGCTTTTTTCTTTCATCCTCTTCAGGAGAAAACTATCCCATAAAAACAGATACACACAATCTGTAAGATGTTGGAAATACGCGACCTGTGATTTGAGAACTGCATTTTTAAAAGTAGCATGGATAGCGTTGCCAGTGCTCACATCATGCGTTACATAAGAGTGTGATTCTGACCTTCCTTGCCATACAGTAAAAGGGTAGCAATTACATTAGAATTGCCAATAAGAACCTGACTGGAGTTTGGATGGATGTAATCCATGTGATGGCTCATTTTAAATCAATGGTACTCAGAAAACTTGCCAAGTGTCTCTCCAGGCTGACGCCCACACCTCCATCTCTCCTCCATTTCCCAAGGAGGCAAAGGAGCAAGGGGCACAGGGGAGGATGTGCCATGAATGAGGCAGCGAGAGTGCAGTGAACAAAAGGCAGTGCCGAAAAGGGGATATTAACACACTCCTTCAAGCTTTGGTTTGTTTCCTCTGGAGGCTCAGACCAAGGTGGAGCTACTTCCCTAACTTAAGCTATTTCTCCATTTTATAAGATAAATGTTTTTCACAGAGACAATTATCTTAAAGTAAAAACCTAGTATGGACATAGCACAGCTGTGTCTGTCTTAGCCTAGCCCATGGGGGTCCTACTGGACTGTTCTCTGTGAAATAAAACTTCAGTAGTGACTCATTCCAAGTTCAGCCACACGTAGGCAGGGAAACCAGATTACCGCTTGCTCTAATTACTGTTAAACATTGTCCTTAGTCCATAATCAAAAATAAAATATCCAGCTATAGGCCTTAGTGGAAATGGGAAATACCAGAGGGTTTCCCAGAAGCAGTTAACAGAAGGCCAAGCAGCAGGCTTAAAAGGATCAAGTACAGTGGAGAGGGTTGTCTGTAGCTGATATAATTACTGGTCTTGTGGTGAAATTTTGTTAGAGAATTAATCAGTCACACCGAAGTGCTATTTAAGGAGCCATACCTCTGTTTTCATGATTGATGTTTCAATTGGCCTTTCAGAAACTGTCACCGTGTCCAATGTAGAAGACATCCTGTGGTACTGACGCTTATTCTGAATGGCGAACCTCAGTTCCTCTTTCACCAGTGGGGTTAAATTTGTGAAATCATCAAACCCCAGTGACCCTGCAGGGGACAAAGTGGGAACAATTGCGGAGGCGCTGACTTCTAATGCAGATACCTGGCCTGAGTGTTGGACCATCATTTTGCTGAAAGGTAAAAAGAGATAATAATAATAGTCTTTCAACAACCTTAGAAAGGCAAATAATATCTCCTAGAGGTATATTTAACACTGTGAATAATACTGAATTTCTTGCATTGCTTCAGTCCCCATTCCCTGTCGACCCCAATCTCTCACTAGAGACAAGCAGTTTAGAATTTAGTCACTGGTAAAGACTTTTACTTTATGTTAAATTAAAGTTACTATTTAAAAATAATAATAGTATTAGTGCATCACAAAATTTCTAGGTCTTCCTGAAACTTAATATTGAAAAATATGGTGTGTACGTATGGATACGGTGAAATTTTAAACTGGTAATGTATGGTAAATGTGAATCAAGTGAAAAGGAAGAGAGCATAAGGAACGAAAATCAGAAAGCAAAGAAATATTATTATTTAAAGCACAGAAGGAGCTTTAGAGTATCTCCATCCTCAGAGCTATACCACCACAGATTCCAGCTTCAAATGGACAGAGCGTACCTTGATCTCAGCTACATTTAGGCAGAGCTCGATGAGTTCTACTAGAATCTGTAATTTGCTAACCAAGACAGGATCTGTCACAAAATTATCGTGCTCAGTTTTACACAGAGTTGTAAATTTGGTTATGAACTCCTGGAAAATGGTTAACAATAAGAGCTGGCACAAAGGTAAAGGTCTATACATGCTCTGGGACTTCAAAGCACAGGGTGAGTTGGAGGGATTGAGTCATGAAAAACATGAAGCCCTCTGTTTCATTCCTATGCTCTTGTAAAATCTGAAACTGTCCTCATGTACCCTCAACAAGAGGTTTGAAATTCTTAAATATTTATGGTCAGATGTCCTGCTGATATAAAACAGTGTGACTGAAGAGACTTCAGGGGAATTATGCAAATGGACACCCATGGAGGAACCTAATTTCTAGTAATTTTCCTAAGAAAATGAACCTGCCCAACAGTGCTCTCAACTTTCTTCTTTTTAGTCATTCTTATTAATTTTTTTTTAGCCAGTTTGAGAGGGAGAGAGGCCCCCTGTGTGCTTTGTGAAAATTGGTGACCCCACTGAGGGAGAAAGAGGCAAAACTCAGCAGTCAGCCATCCAACATCACGGGCAACCTAGCTAGCCAGTGCACACAGCTCTGCAGGACACAAACCATCTCTCACCCAGAAGAGGTGAGCTAAGAGGTCTAGAAGAAAGCTGAGCACTTTTTGTGGGTGGTCCAAGAGACAAGAGGTGCAATTCCATAGGAAAACAGGTTGTATTACTTCCCTTATTCATAAAATTACTTGTGTTAAATTGGATTTTACCACATTGATCTTCCAGATTTCTTTGGTGTGTAGATTTTTGTTTTTTTTTTTTTTATAGCTGTACAGGTAATTACAGTATGTGTTATCTACTCTTGATTAGAATTGTAATAATTATAGCAAAGTCAATTGTAATTAACTTAGTGCAGATAAGCCTGTGGGTAAGTTAAATGTCCACATGGTGAACCCAGAGTTGCACAGTTCCCTGTACGCTACTTCTGTAACCCAGCAAATGTCTGGGGTCACGTGCCTTGACAAGAAGATAGATTTTGCTCAGAGATATCTAAAAATACACTGTAAATCCACACTGGTGCAAATGAGACCAGTGGTTCATCACTAAGTGAGGTAAATATAAAAATCTGAGGACAGTGAATTGCTGGTTGGTAGAAAATACTATGTTCAGCTGCAGTCTTCCTCACTTCTTCCTCACTCTGTCACCACAGAAGAGCTAGACATGTCCCAGAGTCTGGGGGTGAAATCCTGAACTCACTGAGATCAAGAGGACTTTTTCTGTTGACCTCAGTGGGGCCAGGATTTCACCCGTAGTTATTAAAGATGAGGAAATTATTTGGAACAATTTGTTATTCAGAAAGACCTTGGGAAATTTATGTAATTCTCTTCAGAAAGCCCCTGCTCATGAGTCACATTTAAAGTACTGATACGGTTTAATCCTATAATCTCAGAAAGCTAGCAGTTACTCTTTTTCAACAAGTCAGAAAAGGCCCTATAATTTCAGCTGAAGTCCTCCCAGCTTTATTTACCCTTTAGCAACATTCAACCATTCAACTCATTTAAACAGGCTAATTCCAGATGAACCAAAACCCTCATTGCTAGCAGATATTTCAGCTATTTTCACTGAATCAGTCTCCTTGGCTGCCAGTGATGGCTTCATTCAACAAAGTTAATTCTGTATAATTCAATCAAATCAGGAGTCTTAAATTAACAGTAAAACCATTTCTCCAGCAAACAAAATAATTAATTGGGCTAATAATTTTTGAGCTCTGGTGGTTTATTCAATTATTTTCAGTTTATGTGAACTTTTAGTTAAGGTCAGCAGCGGTACCAGAAGAAACCAAGAATGTTTGTGCCTGAGGAATTGTGTGAATTGTGGATTTCTACTAGTTAGTGCTAAGTGTACCATGAGCACCAACAAATCCCCTGCTAGAATGTCTACAGGTACTCCTATCTGTTTGTCACTAGTCTAAAAAAAAGGAGTGGTTAGTTACCCACGGGGAGGGCAAGCACAGAGGAGGAAGTGTCCTTGACCATAGAAACTTGCTTCTCTCCTGCCTGAGCAGCTCACTGACCTTCCAGACATCCTGAAAGGCATCTCTATTTACTCAGACTTTAGGGAAGGGAGGGCCTACCAGGGGGCTGAGGCTTGTGTAAGTATTTATGCCGTGAGCCGAGTCCCATTTTGTAGAGCTGTTTGCTGCTGGTTTGTTTTCCTGGGACTCGCTGTTGGGGCAGTGCTTCTGGGCAGTGCCTAGTAGGGTAGGCTTCCAGTCTACCACTGGGATCATTAGGAGGTAGATGTTTTCCAACTTCTGAGGAACAAATCTGCCTTTAGAAATGTTTTACAAGAAGGAAAATTTGAAATACAAGTTGCCCTTCCTTCTTCCTGCTTTTTGTACCGGTTGTACCTCTGTCTATAAGCCATCAAGAGCACTATCTCATTTTCCCTGGGTTTGTAAAGGCTGAGGAAACAGTGGGAATAAGAACATCAAGCTTTAGAGCATGACTACATCTGGGCCTTTCCAATACGATCTGTTTACTTTGTTAGAGCATGCACGTGGACCTGGGGTCCCGGCTGCTTTGAGTACTTCTGAAGTTACTGACACGGAAGGTGCTGAACATTTCACAGACCTGCACTGTAAAGGTGCAGCTTGTTCCCAGTGTTAGTGAATGCTTCGTTACTTTATCCTTAGATCTGGAATTCTCCAAAGAGAACAGCTTTTCCATTAATGGTACCTTCCCAATTCAGGTAGATCCAAACAACTTTATTAATTCATTCTCCCCTTACTTCTTGTTTGTTCTTTTGCTGATGATTCTTTCTATCTACAGTGAACTTTTACATCTCATCTGACAATATTTTAAATTCAGGACATACTTCCTAGCTGTCTATTTAAATTCAGGACATACTTCCTGTGCACGTCTATTATTTAAGGGTATTCTTGTTTAACATTAATATTAAAAGTGACTACTTTCAGTCTCATCTTTTTGGCTGAACTGCAGATGGCTGACTGTGCCTCTTGGTTTTATTTCTTCATACGAATTCCTTTTCCTCTGGTGCTGATGCAATAAACCCCGATAACCATTGAGGTTAATCTTAAACAGCATTAAGAGCAATTACAGTTCACAACCTCTGTGCACGCTGGTTGACCTTAAGCTTTCTGACATCCCACATCATTCCCAAACCATTTTCTGCTGCCCTCCAGCTTCTCAAACACTGTTACTGGGATGAAAATTGATTTCTAACAGGAAACTCCTTCTCTGAAACAAGTTTGCTGTTGTGTCACGCCTGACTTGATTAGGCAACAGTTTAGCAACTGATCTTCTTCATGTCAAGACACGGGGACAGAAAGAAAAGTGCATGCCCCTGGCTCACACCCAGAGTCCCCGCTCATTTCGTGGGTCTATGCTGGATGCGCCCGGACGCGGCGGCGCGGGGTGAGTCGTGGCCCGGCCAGGCCCGCTACAGCTCCCCCGCCCCTGCGGAGCCTCCGGGGCGGCATCCCCGCCGGTCCCGGTCCCCGATCCCCGGTCCCGGGGCCGCCCGGTCCCTCCGCCGAGGCCGCCACCGCGCGGTGCCGAGCGGCGCTGCCGGCCCGGGGAGAGCCGGGGCTCGGCGGGCTCCCTCCCGGCGCCCACATCTGGCGGCAGCCCGAGCAGGGGGCTCCGCTCCCCCGCATATTCAGCACTGGGAGGGGGGAGCCGCCGCCGCCGGCGGGAGGGCGGGCGAGGGGCTCCGGCGGGGCCGGGGGGCTTTCCCGGGGCTCACGGGGGGGGGGGGGGGCGGCGGCACCGCCGCACCCGCCTTCGCTCCGGCGGCGAAACTTTTCCCCCGGCGCGGCCCGCGGAGCCACCGGAGGGGATCGCTCCGTGGCGGGACAACCTCCCACGGAGCTCAGCCCCGCGACCCGCCGGCACGGAGAGTCCCGGCGCCTCCCCTCCCGCTCCCACCTACCTCCCTGCCGCTGCTGCTGGTTCCCCGGGCAGAGGGAAGGGGCTCCGCACCCAGCCCGCAGCGCTGCCGTCCCCTCGCCTCCGCTGCCGCCTCCGGGAGAGCAGCTCCCGCCGCTCCCCGCTCCTCTGCCTCTCGCCTCGGTTGCATCACCCCCCTTATATAGTCGAGCGGGCAGCGCTGGTATTTACTCTGGCGGCGAGTCCCGGGCTGATGTCATGCTATTAATAGCCTCCCCGAAAGAGAGGGAGGAGGGAAGCGGAGCCCGTGGCGGTGATGCAAGGTTTCCCCGCCGGCACGGCACGGCTCGGCTCGGCACGGCTCGGCGCGCTCCGCTCCGCTCCGCTCCTCTCCGCGCCGGGGAACATCCGTCGGCACCCGCACAGACCCTGCTGTCCCCTCTCCCTCTTTTCCCTTTCCCCTCCACCCCGCCTTTTTTTTTAAAAAAAAAAAAAAAAAAATTAAGGCTCCGGGGATTTCTTTCTCCGGGCCGTTTGGCTGCTGAGAATAAATCAAAGTCTCTCTCACGACCGAAAAAAAAAAAAAAAAAAAAAAAGGAAAAGTAGTGGTGATTGTGTAGTTTTCGAAAGGACTGAAAATTATGATCTTATTCCACAGGAAAAAATTGTTTAACACCCCCTGCCTTCTCACCTCCATGCCCCCTCCCACCCCCCGCGCTGCTTTAGCTGACAGCCAAAAGTTCATTTTACATGAAGAGTTTTTACTCCGAGGAGGAAACACCCGTTTAATGAAATGATAGAAAGCTAAAAATAATGAGTGGGGTTTTTTTTCTGGTGAGTTGTTTTTTATTTGTTTTTGTTTTGTTTTGAGTTTTTTAAACTTTTCTTAAAACACAACCATACATGATTTCCTTATGATTTCAGGGAAAAACAGGGAGTCCTTATAGGAGAGAGGGAACTATGGTGGTGGCTGTGGTGAAGGGGTTTTTGTTTTGTTCTTTTTTTTTGTTTCCATAGCTTCCTGGTTTGTTAAACTACATAAATTGCCTTCTAACAGCCCCCAAAGTGCTAGAAAATACGATGTGTCAAAAAAGCATTTATCCAGGAGAGACACAGCGCTATATAGTACAATAATATTCCATACATACAAACTTGTCATTAAGATAGTCTTCAAGTCTCTGTACTAGGCATTGAAAGATCAGATCTTTTCATGCTTTGGGATATTCTAACTAAACCAATATAAAATGTATACCTTCATATATAAAATGTATACCCTGCTCAGGTGCTCCAACCAGTTAACTAATTTAATAATGTTCAATATGGCTATATTTTGATAATAGGTAATATGTCTCAAGTGGTATATTCTAGGATATATTGATTGCCGGGAGCATTTTATCAAGGGCATCAATTTCTACTACCAGTTTGAAAGTCCCTCTGAATCTCCCCTCTGTGTGTGCGAGGCTGCCTGGGTGTATATGTATATGCATAAATGTACACATTGGCCACACAGATAGAACTAATAATCTTACCTTTTCAAATGTCCCAGTGCTAGCATGCTCAGCTTTACAAACCTAACGCTCCTATTTTACATGTAATTGTCTGGTTTTGGGAGGGAAAAAAAAAAAAATCAGGTGGTGAAGGGAAGGAGCCTGGAGTAGTGAGGTTGGCTTTCCTCCCGTGGAAGGTGCAGTTGCTCCCTGTTCTCCTCGAACAATGAAGTGCACTTTGCAGAGGGCGGGAGTGAGCTCCTCTGACCTACCTGGCAGCTCTCCTTTTACAGCTCGTGCAAGCTGCAGGCTTTTCTTTTTCACTCACTTTTAGATAAATCATTCTCAGCTCTTTCAAAACATGTTTATTGCCTTATCTTTATTAATCTAGGTAAATCAATGTCAAGTATAATGTCAGGCAAAAACTTTGCTCTTCAAAAGGGTCTAGAGCAAGTTTACATTTCAGCTTGGTGCAGCCTGTGAAGTTCTTTTTAATTCAGAGGCATAATCTTATAATTCATACCGTGTTCAAGAACAGCTGGCATTATTTTTCTCAAGCCTAGAAGAAAAAAAAAATCCCTCTCAAGCAGAGGCCAAATGTGGAAAATTTCTTCCCAAAAGATAATTGGTTGGAAAGTTCTCAGCATGAAGTTATTGTGGAAACATGTTAGCAACATTGGTTTTAGTGGCCATGAACAGGTGCCTGCTGTAATTCTGGCAGAGATTTAGCAACTGTCCGTTCTTATTTAGCTAGCTGTACCAGAAGTGGGAATTATTTTAGAGTATTTTCAGCTAAGCAGAGCAATGTCACAGAATAACGAAGGGAGGAAAAAAGCAGCTCCCTTCTTCAATGTGGGTAGAAGTACCTTGGAAATACCAGTGTTGTTACACTGTTTTTCAGGGTCACTGGTATCTACTCAACAATCACAACACTTCATCAAGTAGGCAGATGATTATTTTGTTTTGAAATCATACTATATTATACAAAACTAAAGCAAAGAGATTTGTTTGCCACGCAGTGCTTTACCACTGCTGGTACCATTATTGCTCATGAGCTACAGCCGGTACTAAAAACTGACAGTAAACCAGTTGTGTTCATTCTTGAACTACTCCTGAAGTGAGCCAGCTCCTCCCTGCAAAGCAAACAGAGAGACCGTTCCAGTGCGCATTTAAGATTAGGCCACTGAAACATGTCCTGGCTTGAAATTCTTCAGTGAAAAAAGAAAATGAAACCACACTGAAAAAATAAGCCCAGTTCCACTGTGTCATGTAGGTTTTATCCTGCTCCCCTTTAAAACCAAAGCTAACTTGATCTCAGTAAAGACATAGGGTCACAATTAAAAAAAAAAAAAAATAAAAAATAAATATATATATATAAATAATTATGTCTATCAGGAAGTTAAAGTAAAACCAAGTACAGCCACCAGATGCTCTGATGTTCTTTACCAGTTTCATTTTCCATCTCATAAAATATCTTCCATTTGCCTCCTTCTGAACATTTACTGGTCCTTTTCCATTTCATTTCTTTCTTTTGTCACAAACTTCAGGACACAGACCCCCTGAAATAGCACTCATTTCACAGAGGTGACATTCATGTTCATTATTTCTACTTTCCCTTAAGCCGGGTACAGCAGCTCATCACCAGAAGACCGACACGTATCGGGTCCTTCTCCCCCTGCAGAGACATTGGGCTGAATACCACCCCACGGTGTGGTCCTTGCAGCTCTCCAGGAGTCTCCAGCGTAAAAGAAATAATTCCTTCCTTTACCTTTTCCTGACTAATTCCTGCCTCCACATCCCTTGACACTACTTCATATGCTGTGGGTATTTGATTAAAACTAAAATATGGCTGTGTCCTTGCTAAACAGAGCTATAGACATCATTATACAGAGGAACAGACTCCCATCCTCACAGCAAAAGCTTTCTGCTGTCTCCTGTCTTAACATTTATGCAACTGTAGGACATCAGTCAGAGTAACACAATTAAAATCCCCATGTCCCCTCCAGATCCTATGTTGGTTTATGGTCATGCAGTTCCATTAAACCTATTTGGTCTGGTGAAAATATAATGAGATGTAAATAAATAAAATATGTAGTGGTATCTTGAGTAAAACCTGTCTCTCCGTGTGCTTTGTGGTTTTAATTGTATTAGGTTTTGAAGTTACTGTAACCCTGATGGGACCAATTTTTTCCTGCATGGCACATATATGAGAAAGAGGTTTCCAGAACTCGGAGTTATCATGTTGTAAAATCAGCACAGAATCAAGTTTTTTGACTCTGCCCAAAAGAAGTATTCTCTATTTATGTGATGGGAATTAACCTTCACCATGATTTTTTCTAGGCATTACATTCAGGTCCAAATCTATGTGGTAAGACTCCTCTCTCCCCCAAAAGATGCACTAGTTTTGAGACAATTTCCCCATCTGACTGGACTAACACCAGAGTTGAAACTTCAGAGTATTTCTTCCAAGGTTTAGATTGTGACTGCTTGAATCTGCAATAGAAGTAGCATCAGCCATCCCCAACCAGCCCGGGGCTTTTCAGCCGCTGTCTGGGGAACCCTTGGGCATCTGTGGGCTACTTTCAAAAGTTTCTCCAAACAGTGGCTAAAAAAACCCAAGCCTGCAGTAGTGAAGATCAAATTCACTCCGGAAGGTTTGGATCTCTACAGGGGCTAAGAGGTCCAAAAATTTAATGGAGTTAAATACCATGGAGGTAGATGGCAGACTCTCACAGCGGCGATATGGCAAACCCTGCTACCGTCTCACATTTAATACCACCCAAGCGGATGAGTATATGTCTTGTGGAGGTAAATAAGTGCACTACTTTAACTTCTTTTATTCTTTAACACTGAAGACGAAATTAATTTGCTCCTCACTTTTCTCTCCTCAGCTTACCTTTCTTTCCCTAAAGCCTGTTTCCATCACCATCCCTCTAGACCCATTTATTCTCCATTTATTATATCCTTTTGGATGTCCCATTTCCTACTCTCTTTTGCTTTGTTTCAGTAATAGCCACCTTTTCCATTTCCTTAAAACAGCAGCTTCTCCATTTCTTTTGCCACTTCCCTGTTTCTCCTCTTCTCACTTCTCTCTTTTCCCTCCCTGTATCCCTGGATTCCGTCATCCCTCTTTCTGTTCCCTTTTTCCAGCATTTTTTCTCCTATTGGTCCTTCTGCTCCTGCCTGGCAGCTTCCTAAGCTTAAATGAGTCATTTTAATTTTCTCTTTCACTTTTGGTCATTTTACTTTTTGTTTCTCCACTATTAAGATGGAGGCACTGATAACAAAATTACCGAGGCATGCAACAAAACATACATTTCAGGACCAGAGGCTGGTACCCAAGATTACCACGAACTTTAGTGGGACTTTGCTAAATTAAATGTTCCACAAGGTTGCCAGTCATTTCTATATGCAGTGTTTTGGGAGTGCGGGATGGAAGGGCAAGTTATACAAACATCCCTTCTCTCTGGCTGACAGACAGCACTGACGCTGGCCCAGTCAAGTATATCTTTAGCTCCCTTTTGCTGAAGCCTTTCAAGGCTTTTTATCAGATGGACTTTGTGCACTGGCACAGAAACTGGCTGCACACAATATCCGGTAATTACAATTTCTGATCTCTTTGGATACATCCAGATAGTAACCAACAAGGAAAAGAGATCCCACATACAGAAGAATCACAT